TTGTGTTTTCTTTATTGTTTCTATTTCAGTTGTCAAGTATTAAACCATTTTTCTCACCTGTTTGACTGTTTTTTCTTTGCTTTCTTTAAGGGATTTATTGATTTCTTCCATTTCTTTTCTTTTATGTTCACCTTAGCTTCTTTAAGGGAATTTTTCATTTCCTGTTTAAGAGCCACTATCTTTATCACATAATATCATTGTAACTTTTTGTGGTATATGTGTTTTAGTTGCATGGAAATCTTCAGGTTTTGGTGGTGTAGAATCACTAAGTTCTGGTGGTACCCTATTGCTCTCTCAGTTGTTGAATGTTTTCTTACACCAGTGTTTATTCATCTTTTCTTCCAACCAGTGTGACTTGTGCCTGTGCCTCCTCTTCCAACTGCTGTCGTTTGCACCTATTCCTGTGTAGTCTGGCATTTTCCCAGTTGGTGCGGTTTAAGCCTGTGCCTATGTAGGCTTCAGGATTGTGGGGGAGGACTGGTTATGGGGAGGCTGTTCAGGAGCATGGGGTGAGATTGGACAGCAGAGTTGGTCTTGGCAGTACAGTGGGTGATGTGGGGGGGATTGGCCACAGTCTGGAGGCAGGTCTCTCACCTGCTTGCAGTCTAGTGGGGACTCATTCTTACAAGTTCATGAGTTGTGTCATTAAGTCATTTCTTTTTGCTGTTTTTCATTTTTTTTTATTGTAGGCATGTAGAGTTTTGGATTTTTCCCTTAGCACACCAGTGTGTCCTAGAGGTTTTATCGTGTTGTGTTTCCATCTTCATTTAGTTCAGGAAATGTTTTATTCATTGCTTGATTTTTTTTTTGATTTCTTCACTATTTAGTAGTGAGTTGTTTGTTATCTATGAGTTTGGGTTATTGATTAAAATTTGCTTGCTGCCAATTTTAAGCTTTCTAACAGTGTGTTCAGAGAGGCACATAGAGGTATTTCAGTTTTTCAGATGTGTGAAGATCAGTGTGTGTGTGTCCTTTATTTTAGAGGAGCTTCCACTGACTGATGAGAAGAATGTGTATCTTTGGTGTCTGAGTATTGGTGTTTGGTATTTAAGTATTAGTAACAGTATAGACTATCAGTCTATGGATGTGCATTAGGTACTTTTGTTTAAGATGTAAATTAATATCAATATCTCTGTTCCTTCTTTTTCAGATGACCTATGTGTAGGAGAAAGGGGGTATTAAGCTGACCTAATATTGCATGGTTGAAAGTAATCTGTGTTTTAAAGTCCAGTAATATGCTTTTTTATGATATTGAACATGTGAGGGTTTAGTGAACATGTATAGAATTATATTTTCTTCTTGGTTAAGTCTTTCTTGGTTGGGATAAAGCGTTTCTGTTACCTCTTCTGATTAATTGAAGCTTGACATCTATTTTGTCAGATATTAGGATAGCAACATCTCTTTGTTTCTTGGTTTCGTTTTCTTGGAATACTTCCTCCCCCATTCCTTCACTTTAAACTGGTATCTATCTTTGAAGGTAAGATTTCTTACCTAGGCACCAGAAAAAAAAATGGATTTTCTTTATTAAATGAACCTGTGCCTTTTGACTGGAGGCTTAAGGGAAATCCACATTTAAAGTTTGTATTGAACGATCTGTGCCGATTGCTGTCATTTTGGTTTTGTTGTTTGCTGTTTGTGTTCTTAGTCCTATTTAGTTTTTCAGGAGGTATAAACTTACTTGGTTTTTTTCCTGTACTTTATTGACTATGCTTATTCCTTTCCTCAGACCAAAGTATTGCCTGTCATATTTTCAGCAGGAATGGTTTGGTGAACAGAGGAATGTTTTTAGATTGTTTATACATGGAAATTTTTTCTGTTACCTTCAACAATAGCAGAAATTTTTGGTAGGAACAGTAGTCTCCTTTCATATCTAAAGTACCTTATGGCTTGAAGTACATTGGCCTCTTCTCACATTTAAAGTTTCCATCTAGAAATAAGGAGTTATCCTAATGGCTTTTGATATATATATATATATATATATATATATATATATATATATATGTCTTCTGATTTTTCTTGTTTTTCTCCTGCAGCTTCAATATCCTCTCTTTGTTAGTATATTTCCTGTTTTATGTACTTATGTTACAGAGGTTTTCTTTTCTTACCCCTCTAGTTCCTACAATCCTTTCTTCTCCTCTTCCTTAGGATTCCCTGAGCTCTGCCTAATATTTGGCTGTGAATCTGCATCTGATCCCATCAGTTGCTGGATGAAGTCACTCTGATGACTATTGGAATAGGCATCAATCTGTGTGTATAGCAGAACATTGTTAGCCATAATTACCTTGACATTTTTCCCTCCTGTCACGTGAAAGTAAACATAACGTCAGACCTGCCCATATATATATATATATATATAGAGAGAGAGAGAGAGAGAGAGAGAGAGAGAGATTGGCCTGTGAAGCAGATGTTTTGCAGTTAATATAATGTAGGAAGTTGAAAGAGCTTTAACTGTGTGAAACAAGTTGATAAGGTAAAAACAAACTGAAAACATGAATTTTTTTAGCTGTTTTATTTGGAGGGTAGGAATTAAGAGGCTCAGGGCTAATGGAAAATGAACATGGATTTGCCACTCTAATGAACCCACGCTTCTCTACTCCTTCCACACACTCATATTAGGAGGATTTAGAGGACTGTGTATTTATCACAATGATGAGAAATGGGTTGTGAAAGTTGCTGAAGTCACCTCAGGGAGCACAGCAATTTCCTTTTTTGTAGCTCAGAATCAACAGTGGGAACTGTGACCACTAAATCTGGAAACCGATAAGTGATGAGGGTGACTGGTTCTAGCCTGTAAGAAACCGGAAGGCACACATAACTTCCCAAGGGGAGGTGGATGTGGCTAACGAAACGGAAAAGGGGATCAGTGTAGAACTCAGAATGACCTCACTCCGCGACCCTCTGTGCAATTGCGGAGTACGAATGGAGTCTTGGGAGTGATATAAAAATGAAAATGTCACAATCTTTGCTTTAATTGTGTTTGGAAAATTTTGGTTGTTGTTAGAGTAAAACTAAAGTCCCTTCTGTCAAGCAAAAATACAAATGAGACCAGGAGGTTATGGGAAAGTTCTCAGTCACAAACCTGCTTGTAACATCACATTAGACCCCCGTAATGACCAGCTGGAGCAGAAGCCACCACAGCCTGATTCAGAGGGGACTTTTGCAAGGACATCTGCCAGCAATCCTGTGTTCAAGGATGGATTGTGGCCACTCTTGTTACCATTCTTGTCACCAAGGTCTATTTCTCCAAAATATTTGATGTACTCATCATCACTTGTATTTGTGAACACTTCCCTCTGCTTCACCCTCTTCAATATGCCCAAGGGTGCTACATTTTATCTCTTCCCATTACAATGTTTACTATTTCCGTTGCTGTGATCTGCTATGATATTTTTTTTATTTTATTGATATTTATTGAGCTCTACATTTTTCTCTGCTCCCCTCCCTGCCTCTCGTCTACCCCTTCAACCCTGTCCCAAGGTCCCCATGCTCCCAATTTACTCAGGAGATCTTGTCTTTTTCTACTTCCCATGTAGATTACATCTATGTAAGCCTCTCTCAGTGTCCTCATTGCTGTCTAAGTTCTCTGGGATTGTGATTTGTAGGCTGGTTTTCTTTGTTTTATGTTTAAAAACCACTTATGAGTGAGTACATGTGATAATTGTCTTTTTGTGTCTGGATTACCTCACTCAAAAGGATGTTTTCTAGCTCCACCCATTTTCCTGCAAAATTTAAGATGTCGTTATTTTTTTCTGCTATGTAGTACTCCGTTGTGTAAATGTACCACATTTTCCTTATCCATTCTTTGGTAGAGGGATATTTATTTCTAGTCAGTATAAGTATTCTCAAAGACTTGTTCTTTGTCTTTTTAATTTCACTGACATTTGTATAAGGAGATAATTTCTAAGACAAGAACAGAAATATATGGTTTTATATTAGTTAATAGGCCGAAGTAAGTATGTATGTATGCATATGTGCAAAACCGTATGTTTGCATATATGTGGTTTTGCATCAGTTAAGAGACCAAAGTGTGTGTGTGCGTGTACAGATTAAGGAATAGATTAAAGGCATGGATTTAAACCACTGTGTCTGTGTTACTGAGTATGTTTGAGTCCTCCCCAAAGTTAATATCTTTCTTGCTCAGCTTTCCTCTATAGAAAAGATCATCTCATTGATGAATATTACTGTGAACTGAGAGATTAATCCTTTTTACAATGGGACATTCATTTTGGCCTGGGAATAAAGTCACAAGTGTCTTTTAATCGTCCTCTACCTGGTAAGAGTGAAAGATGGTTTCAGAGGTAGATTAAGAAAACAACAGCATCATGAGTGCCATCTGGAGATGGAAGAGAGCTTTGGGAGAAAACAGAAAGCCATGACTGTTTTTGTCCACTAGGGGCATCTGTAGACACGGCAGTGAGAAGACCTGAACCACAGATGGTCCAGTCCTAATGCAGACTTGGGGAAAAAAGCTGGGTTTGAAAATTGTGCATGAATCTTTTTTAAAAAGTGCTGATCTGGAAATACAAACATTATTCCCAGAGGATGAGCTTCCATGGGACAATTTACAGTTATAAATGAGGTTTTGATACTGTCCACTGTCCTGAACCCTGCAAGAAGAGACATCAGTCCTGGATCTGCAGATAGAGCCTCACTTAACTGACTGCTGTGGCCATGGAAGGTTCATCCTTGTTTGGCCCCAGGAGGTCTGGTAGCTGTGTCCACTGTCCAGTTAGGTGTGGCATCCCTGCACTGGGTACGTGTAGTTTGGTGATAAAAATCAAATAAAAGTGACATCACTCAAATTGTGACCATCATTACTCAGGGCCAGGCAGCTGTTCTGAATTTTCCAACCTCTTGTTTTAATCCCTGGACTTCAGCCTTACACTTTTAAAAACCTCTCCTAAACTGAGACATGAAATTCATTTCGATCTGATGTAAATAGGCTTGGAAAGCAGTTCCTTTATTAAAATACTAATTGCATATCTCTCGCTTGTCTTTTATGCTCATTCTTCAAATCACTGTCAACTCCTACAACAGTTGGGCTTATCTGGCTTACAGGTTCCCTGTAGCCTGGTATTAGAAGGACAGCTGGAGCGGAGACAGAATCCTCCATGTTGGAGGCATCGATATTGATCTGTTCTGCGTCCGAGACTTGTGAGAGTACCGGCACCTACAAGGGGAGAACAGACATGTTTAGACTTCTAGTTGTAACCCCAAAGATGTGAGAATATTTGGGAAATGTAAAATAGGCAACCTGGTAGCACATAAGAGAATTCTTCTTAGAGGCAATTTCTGTGGAATTAACCTTGAGGCCCCTAAGGAAGACACCCTTCACTATTCCAGTGTGAAGAAGGGGCTCACAAACCCCACTCCCAACCAAGGAACTATTGACAGTTGATAGCTTCTAGAGGAAGAAGATTCTAAAAAAAAAAAAAAAAAAAAAAAAAAAAAAAAAAAAAAAAAGAATATAGCTGGTAGTCAACCACTACCATGCTCCAGTAGATGGTACCAAACCCATAAGAATATGGAACCATAAATTGAATTCAGTGCATCATTTAAAAGAGGGGCGTGAGTTGAGAAACATGGAGATGGACCTTGGAGGAGTTGAGGGAATAATGTGAGAGTCAATACAACCAAAATACATTGTATTCATTCAAACAATTAATAAAATATTATGTTGATAAATTTGTCTCACTTAAACTTGTAGGGCGATGTGGTCATGAAGCTGTTGATAATTCTAGTTTCCAGGAGAGGGGTAGTTAGCTTTAAGGGTGTGTCCCCCGTACATTAATTATACCCTAGCAGATGGTTACACACTCAACTGTAGGCAACACTAATTTGACTCAGGGTTAAAAAGAAGTCAGGTGCGGGTGGAATGGGGTGTGAATGTGGGAGGAATTTCGGGAGTGAGGTAAATATAATCAAAATACAATGCATGAGTCTGTCTGATGGGGAGCCTCCTCCAGCCAATGGCCTTTGAGAGACTGGACCAGGTTGGGCGTGGCTTTGGATACCAAAAACCTGCAGGATGCCCACTAGGCCTCTTCCTGTTTGCCATCCCTACATGTTAGACCCCGCTCCTGTTTCCTCATTTTGATCTGTGAGTTTCCCTTTTAATAAAGAAAAACCTTAGTATATTCTATTTGGAGCTAGTGTGAGATTATTTGGTTAGCGTTCCCTCCATCTGGCACGTTCCACTTCAACTGTCAAGGAATTAATTGATGCACTAAATATATATAGATATTATGTAATGTTGCATATATTATATCATATAATAGTATCTACACAAACACATCTATGCTGTATAAGCATAGGAGGCCCAAACAGAGGCAAGCTCAACCAGACAAATGGCTGTGAATTGGCTATTTTTCTCTACTCTTAGAGCTCTAGAGACACGTTCAGGACCTTCACCAACTAAAACAGTTCATGACTGGTTTGATAGCATGGTAGAAGATTCTTAAAAGCATCCTATGCACAGATGATGGATACAGATGGCGATAATCTTAGAATTCCGGGAAAGGATAAATTTTATGAGTTTTATGAATGGTAAAAATGAGAGTCATGGAAGAATCAAAGGTTCCAACTTAATAACCCAACAAATTGCTACAATAAATAAGGGTGGAAAAAAAGATCAAATTATCAAAACAACCAGGAAAAAATTATTGGAATTAGCACAACCTTCCAACCGTAGTTGTAGACACAAATGTCCTTAATTTTATAATAAAAGGTCAAGGTAGCTTATTGGACTAAGGATAAGAACCAACTGTTTGTTGTCTTTAAAATCAAATTGCACTGGAAAAGACACATACAAACTTAAAGGGAAAGGATGGAAAATTATTTGCTAAGTAAACGTAACCAAAATAATGCTCTAAAACCAAGCAGTAGTAGCTATATTCATACCCAACCAAGTGGATTTTATACACAAATTAGTCATAAGTGATAAAGCATGTTACTACACAGTAATAAACGGAGCAAGCAGTCAAGAAGATGTAATGAAGGTGATGGGAGGAGTGTAAGAACAAATGGTCAGGATACTTTCTGAGAGATAGATTATTCAGTATACAACAGAGCTGCACCTGTGAGATCTTAACAGTATAGTTGCTTAAACAAGACTTAAACAACAGCAACATCGGTTGATGTTACAACATGGATAGGGAAATCTCATAATGCCCCACTCATGAAGAATTATAGACAATTAATAGCTGCTGAGAGACAGTGAGTCCTTTGCCAGGAATGAGCCCAAGATAGATTATCTAGCCCTGAATACACATACATATAAGCAACACTAAATGGACTGAGCAGTTTGTGTTTATGTGTGTGTGTGTGTGTGTGCATATAATTACACATATGTGTAACACTAAAAACTACCAATTTCCTTCATGAACATAGAAAAAAATTCCGAATAAAATCCTTGCAAACTGAATTCAATAACACATTCAAAAGTCAATACATGATGACCAAGTTCATTTCATTCCATTTGTGCAAGATTGGTTCAGCACGTGTGGAATAAGCACAGTGAAGCCCATAAATATAATGAAGAGAAAAGCTTTCCACGGCCATGATAATAGATGCAGAAAATGACTTTGAGAAAACAATAGCCACTCTGCTAAAACCCTGAAGAAAGCACGAATAGAATAGAATGCTTCCACGTAACAAGGTTTATATGTGGCAAACTCACACCAACATTATACTGGATGGGGAAAAGTTGAGAATATTTTCCTTTAATACCAGGAAGGGATAACTGTATGTATTCTCCCCATTTTTATTCAATGTAATATTTCTACTAATTTCTTTTCTGTTGCTGTGATAAAATATCATGACGAAAGCAACTTAAAGGAGAAAGGGATTTATTCTGGTTTATAGTTCTGGGATTGGAGGTAAAACCCACCACAGTGGGAAAAACCTGGCAACAGTCAAGACAAGTATGGTAGCTGGAGCAGGGAGCCAGCTGATCATATTTCACAGGAAGCAGGGAAACAGAACAGGAAATGGAGTGAGCTTCTAAACCCTCAGAAGTCAGTGACTTCTTCATCTATCAAGGCTGTCCCTCCAGAAGCTTCCATAATCCACCCCCACCAGAGCCATCTGCTTGTGACAACATGTTCAGATTCATGCGCCTCTGGGGGATATTCAAACCACAACATTCTCCCCATGGCCTCCTTGAGCTCATGGTCATCTCATGATGAGAATGCATTCAATCTTTTAATCCAACTTCAAAAGCCCTCATAGTCTTTACGAGTCCCAGCGCTCTTTCAAAATCCAGAGTCTCTTCCGATACTTATCTCTTAACTATGACTGCTGTAAAAATGACAAAGCAAAGCGCACACTTTCAACACTGAACAGAGTACATATTGCCATTCCAAATGGAGGAATATGGGCATAGCAAGGAAAGATTAGACCAAAGCAAAACTTTAAGCCATCATGGACAAACCAAATTCTGTAGGTCCACATACAGCAACTGAAGCCTGAGCTTCAATGGGTTTAGATGGAACTGACCCTCCAGCTTTGCTGCCTGCAACACACACTTTTCTCTTAGGCTGATTTCTTATTCCATTTCCTGTATGCAATTCTCCTTGACAGATATCTCCTGACTTTGGTATCTCAAATATCATGGGATCTCAGCCACAACCCAGGCTTCACTATGACAGCCTCATGCAATGGCTTCTTGGGGAATTCCTTGAAGGAACTCTGGACCTGCTGCACATTGCCTGATCTCCTTAGTTCTCTGAAAGAGCAGAGGAAAAAGCCATGACCCCTTTCATCTTGCAGAGTTTTTGTCTTCAAAACAAGAACCACATGAACAACACTTTCAAGTTCTGTCCTCAGCTGGAGATGGCTCCTAACCACTTGGACATCAGCTGCAGAAGCCTCTGAATGCAGCTCTCTCATAACATGGAGGCCCATTGAGTGTGGCCTCAATCCCATAATGGGGAGGCCCACCTGAGTGTGGCCAAGCTCTCAGAACATGGAGGCCCATCCGAGTATGGCCTTGCCCTCACAGAACCTTTCCTGTTGTTCTTGTGCAGATCATGCAGCTTTCCTTTAACAATTACAAACTCTTTTTCAGCACACGACCGATGTCTTAGTTTTCCCAGTGTCCTTTTGTTCCCAAACTGCACATTTTTATTTCTCCCTACCATGTTTGTTGCCACTGAGATTCTGTGTCACCACAGTCAAATTGACTTTCATCAAGAAAACAATAAGCAATACTGGGGAGACACAGGAAGAGGAAGAGCACGCATTTCCAGAGGGGATGTAAAGCAGGGCAGCCACTGTGGCAATCAGTATGGCAGAGCCTCAGAAAGGTCACACTAGCACTACTGTGCCCTGTGATCTACGGCACCAGACCTGGGTGTGCCCTGTAGTGTGTAAGTCAGCACACCACAGAGGAACCTGCAGCTCCATGCTACTTCAGTCGCTATTCATGGTAGCCAAGGCAAGGAGTCATCTTAGATGTCCTTAAAGAGGTGAGTGTACATGGAGAGTTCTCTTCTGCCATAATGGAGCAAGAAGCACCACAAAGGAGAAAGGATAGAAGCGATGAGCACCAGAGTGAGAGGAATAAACCAACTCAGAGTCAAGCATCATGGGTGTTCTCTGCTACATGGAACCTGGGGCATAAATGAGGGTGTGAAGAAGAAAGGGGATTAGGAATATTATATTGGAAAGTAGGATAGGAATGGAGTGATACATGGGTGAATTTGACCAAAGTCCATGATATTCATAAACAAAAAAGTCATATGAACCCCATTGTATTGTATATTTAATATGCACTAGTTTGAAAAGACAGACACTAATTATCTCATTAGTTTTCATCATCTTCTATATTAAGGGTAAAAAGAGCTATGAAATTAGTATCAGTTTTTTTTAATTTTCTCAAAAAACCCTTAATTTCAGTTCATTTTACATCATCAAAATTATTGAACCACATAGTAATTTGTTGCATTTCTGAAATTATAATATAAATGTATATATATATATATATATATATATATATATATATATATATATGTTTTCAGGACAGAGATATTTCCAGTCTCTGGAGAGTATTTTATCTGTGATTTCTCCTGATGACTGAGGGACTAGGTAAATACTCAAAGTGTGTCTTAGTAGTGTGATCCAACCTTGGGTTAGAAATCTTTCATCTTTATATGGTAAACATTCATGAAC